TCATCAGCCCATCATCCGGAATGGTTGCGCAATGTCGTAGAGAGATTGGCAACATTCCCACAATGTTTCAAGCGAGCACTGGAGGAGTATGGTGGTCATCGGTCAGTTTCAAATCATAACGTCGATTTGGCAGGTGGTGATTGGCATCATTGTGAAGTGGCATGTACAGTTAGCTTAAAATAATAAATGCCGTCATATCCAATTTGAGCATTATTTTAAGAAAAGAATTACTGCGAGGATTAAATCCATTGATTTGATTTGAGGATCAGAGGACGGTCAGATCAGTTTTGGTTGTTGGCGAAAGATGTCCGAACTTGCTTTCTGTGCTTAGAGAGACATGCAAACATGAGGAGTGAATGGTGGCATTGGTGAGGAAAAGAATTCACACTTTAAAATGGATCGACTGAACACGTTTTGCATTTAATTTTTAGTTTCGTGACAATTTATCCGGGACTAATATCAGAGTACAGGATTGCTCTTTGATTCAGATCTTACTTACTAGGATGAGGCTAATGATGACACTAGTCTCTTCTGATTTGCTGTTTCATCATCACTACTAGAATTGATGTCAGCAATTTTAATTCTTAATTCAGTCCTTCCCTCTGGCTAAGATAGCTTAAACAAGAAAGTCAAATTGAAATTCAGCAAACTGATGGGTGCAATTAATATGAATGTTATGTGACTTTCAGTTGTAAATAAGAAACAAAAAAAAAAACAAAAGTGGAAGTTCTACAAAGCCAACAATTCAAGGAAGATAAAAATTGGAAAGGGAACGGGGAATGTGGAAAGAGAAAAGTTTGATTACAAAAACTCAGTGTCAGAAGCATAAATTGTTAGTGACTTTTGTTAGAGAGAAGCGCAAATGACATATTCTTTTGTGGAAACCGTTAGAAACATCGCATGGCATAAGCATAAGGTTGGATGAATAGTTGCAAACAGATGCATTAAAATTAAGTTTAAATAAAGAAGCAAACGAAGAAAGCATTTCATTAATAGTGATGGGAACTAACAAGTGGAATTTAGCGAATTTTGGGAAAGTGATAACTGTAATATCATCTCACTCAATATTTTCCCTCCAGCAAATGCAAGCATCTCTAGTAAAATGCTACTTTATAAACATGATATTCAATAAATTCTAAATTAATTTTTGAGGAAAAAGCGGTTCAACCTGGCAGTTGCATTTTGATAACATCAACTTCATTCTTCTGAATATGACATCCGAATGTGATGACTCCAATAAAAGCCAAAACATGATTATACGAATACAACGATACTTAAAGATAGCAATTAAAAAACTGGCAGATTGCAAGAGAAAAAGAATCGATGACTGTATGGCCCTTAACAAAATCAACCAATCTGGACAATGTTACTCTTACACAACAAACAAACAATAAAATTTAAATTAAACATCAACAACAAATAGTAAATGCAGTTTTCAACATCGTCGACAAAGCACAATTCACCAACATTTCCTATGCTCCTGAGCAGAATATATAAAAAATGGAACATAACAGAGAAGAGTGGAAAAACAAAACGGAGCAGTGAACAATATGATTGAATAACGCGAAACAGTTTGAGGCTTTTCGGAATTATCGTTGATTGAACGGATTGTGGAGGTTGTGGCACCATCTGACCAGTGGTCACTGTGTACGGTACTTGGAATGGTTCCTTAAAGAACGGACATATTAATGCTAAATTGATTAGATGAAAGATTGATGAGTTTAGGACATTATTTCAATTCTTTTATCTCTGCGGCGAAATTGCATCAATCAGGTCTGAATAACCACGAATGGATCATTTGTATATGTGTGAGTAACTTGAAAAGTATGTATATGAAAGAGTAATGAAAGTAAGTAAGTTACTTGGACTGTTATCAAAGGGCGGATAATTGTCGTGATTACAATTTATATGAGATGTGAATGCAAATATCTGATCTCTCTCACCAACAAAGTATTCCTTTCTGACAAAGTTCAGCAAATTTGTAAAGCCTCACAAAATGACCCATTTAAGGAGAACATCCGAAATGTTCAGTTGACAGTGATTCCTTTGCAGCCCTCGCCTCACATAACTGAGAACGGATGAAATTAGCGGAAGACGAAAGCTTATTGAACAATTCCTAGGGAACGAAGGTACTCACCAAAATGTTACACCCAATGACAGTACTGCCTGAAGCTTAGTTGAATAGCTGTGACAACTGCGACTACGGTAATGAGTGCACCTGTGTTGATACCTGCAATGCAATGAAGGTTTCCAAATGAGATCGATGAACTAATTTTAGAAAATCCCTCAAAGGCTTCTTTACCTCCTTGCATGATACTCTCTGTGCTAGCAGCTGAGAAGGATTAACGGGGTGGAGAGAGAGGGAGAGAGAGAGAGAGAGAGAGAGAGAGTGGGAGGGACTGCGTCGTCGTGTCAGCGACAGTGCGCATAAGAAGGTGTCTTCATTTCACGCTCAAATGATTATTTATACAATTATGCGCCGTTCCCAAAGCTGCCGAGTATAGCACAGACATATTTGGTGACTTTTAAAATAGACTGTGAACTTGTCCCTTTTCGAGATGGATGGAAGGTCAACGATGTTAGCACAACTTCTTCTCTCGATATAAAGTTGGCTTATCGTGGGATGGCAGTTTGAGGAGGAATAGAAATCGTCAGAAATGCCTTTGCAAAATTGGCTCATTAAATTTTCTCACATTGGAGACCATTAAAATTTCAATTCTTTTTAAAAGAAACAGAAGAGTCAGTGCTTTTCCAAGCAGAAATTCAAAAGGGAAAAACGTCACTGAGTTTTGGAGACGGTCCAAATATTGTGCTAAGGCTGAGAAGTGGTAAAATCACAATCGTTCAATCGCGCAGCTGAATACAATTCAAATACGCGCATCGGTCATTAGTACATTCAAAGTGAAACGTATAGAAGCGACCTTCCTCTGTACAATACTCGAGAATTTACAGCAACGAGATCTAGAACAACATACAGTCCCACATGTAGGAAAAAATCGGAACCTTACATGATGAGGAATCTTTCAGAAAAAGTGCACGTGCTGTGGTTGTTGTGGTTGTTGTCGTGGTTGTCACTTCGGGGGTACAGTTATAAGCTCGACATCGTAGAAATTCCACATTACCCTGCAAAGTTTGAACTTTCTGTTTAATCTAGACTAATATGATAAATATTGACTGCTGTCCAATACCTTTTCAAGCAGGGAGATTAGGTAGCAAGTGTGCTACTAACAGATGAAACATTATCACTTTTACCGCAGCTTGTTAGATCGAGAAAGAGAGGTGCAGAAGACCGCAAGAGAAGATGTTTACTGCTGAAGTCCCGATGACAGGATTATTTGTTAAGAACTTGTCAGGAATGGACTCAACTGTTGTTGAATCGGCCCTCAAGCCTTCCTACCTCAGCAATTCATCTTCAGGCTACTACTTTCCTAGACATAACCACAGATGGAAAGTTTCGATTACTCTATATATTCAGAGGTCATGTCAAATGTTATTCTCAAAGATCAAGGGTAAGAGTAACGGTCTTAATCTTCATGACATATTAGCAGCCAATATTATGATGGGACAGTAATCCGAGCAGAATTAAATTTTAAAATTTCGTGCTGCCTTTTGCAATGAACTGAGTTTAGTCCATCAGTTTGGTAAACTCGAAGAAGAATATCACTCGTCTCCGACATACATTTGCAAATCGGTCATTTTAACGGGCGGATAGAATGGTGTGACAGTTTTACACTCGATTTTCTCTGCAGTCTCTGTATCGTTCCATAATTACTACTATTTATTAATATAAAATTTATTCAAAATTACTGGAGGTCATCGATTGTTGTCACAATTTCCCCTGGCTGTAGGAGAGTATTTAAGCACGGGGAGGAAAATGAGACCATAAATCATCATTTGTCTGAACCTATTTCGATCGTGTCAATCCACACAGCGTCACCAAACCATACGTCATCCGTTTCCACTTAATATGATTGATGCAATTAATACTTTATCCGTTATTTACTTTGTTTAACCGGACAGTCACATGTGACTGTTGCAACCAATTAAGAACTGTAATTAGTTGGAGTTCACGAGAGGTTAGGCGAAGCGAAGTGTACATTAATTTCCAATTGTCCTTCGTTTGAAAATTTCAAAACTGAGAAGAAAAGAGAAATGAACTGGCATATTATCGCACTATGGCATTCAAATAAATAACTATCAGTGAAAACGATCTTTCAGAAAATACCCCCTTTCTGAGCAATAAAAGCAAACGACAAGAAGATCAGAGGTCACACCTTGACACCTACACCGAGTATGCTGCAAATGAGTCTCATAAATAGGGCGTAGGAGATTGGCACATACCTCGGAAGTGAGTTGACATCCATTGGTGGGATCAGTTAATTGACAGCGATCGCCATTCAATTTGTTCTTTGCACGGTCCCGACAGCAAATGTCGAATACCTGAAAAAGAATCTATTGATCATGGAAGATTGCATAGGAAATGTGAACCAAAACATACTGAGTGTAATTAAGGCGATAACTACCTGTCTCAAGTAAGGTGAGTTCCTCAAGGAAGAATTGCAAATTAATCATCGGTCAATTATTAAGCTTTTCTTTTATGCCTAAATTATTACCCTGCAAAAATTGTCGCCAGCTAATTGAGCCATTTCATCACACGTTTCGACATAATCTCGCATGGTCGGATCATAGTACTGATGTGAACTGGCAATAGCAAGGATGAAAAGCAGCAAGCCGAGAGGCACTGTCCTCACTGATGGCATTTGAACCATCGCTATCAAATCTGTGAGGAATATTTTGATTTCAGTAATAATGAGGAGACGACTGCATCAGCGGTTGACATCTTTTTGGCAATACATGATAACCCCAAGAAACACTGATAAATTTAGATGGAATTAAATCTTTTAAGAGTTTTTCCTTTTTCGGCAAACAGACCGCCAAAAGATGGCTGACTGTGTCCTTTATTCATTCGAAAATTCCGGTTTTTTAAAACAATCACAACCCATAAAGTTATGAAGCAAGCCTGGATTCTACGAAAATATCCCTGTCAGGGTTGGAATAAGAAATTGAAGATGAGTATAGTCAGAGATGATCTATTCTGTCAATGACAATGATTGTTTTGAACAAAACTTTATTTAAAAAAATATAGAAGTTTGATAGAATTGGGAACTAAGGCAATAAGGTGCCACAGAGAATGGAATTAAGTGGAGAAGAGTGTTTGTTTGTTGTGAGATCTATGAAACGGAACGTTTGCGTTGCTACCGTGAGCCATTGGTCACTTCCACAATATACCAATGGCTCCTCATAATAATGATGGTCAAAGGGCATAAAACAAACATTTAAATTTGACAACTGTGTCATTATGGATGGATGAATGACTGCTACAGATGTGACACACACTCTCAATGTCATCACGACAATGTTTTAGTAAACGAGACGAACAGCTGAAATGATGCAGAATGAAATTGCGCCCAACATCAAAAAGGCGCAAAAGTAGAAATGCGCTTCAATGTACTGATAAGCAAAGATAACAAAGATATCGGATGAGCAGGCAGGAAGGAAGTATGTTATTCCTTTCCTCCTAAACGTCTCTTTAAGGAAATAGGCGTCAGTCATAAAGGGATCTCTCAGGTAGGCTTAGCAATCTAGCTGTTAAATTGTTTCTGAAATCAAGGCTTGCATAAATCGCAAAGTGAGGTGTTAGTTGGAGCTGTTTCTAAAAATTGCATCGAGATAAGTTGGACTCTCAGGTTCAGTGGAAGGAATGACAGGTAGCTGAGAGGTGGTGGAAAAGCAAATAACCGAGAAAGCGAAAACAGACGGCATACTTCAAGCTTCGTAAACTTTACCGAATCTTCGCCCCTGACGACGTTGCTGCCCGAGAACTACTGCCTCCTTTTATCTTCTATCCTTTAATGGAGTGGAAAATTGGGGCGGTGTCGTTGGCATGTGCCATATGTCGCGCGACATTATCGCTCCCTGATATGACTGCTGCAATAGCCCGACAGATCCGATTCAAATGAGCAACGAAAGATATATTATTCAAAAACTGCTGGTAGGGTGGCACTAACTGAAATCAAGGTAAAACAACTTTAAGCTTTATGACAATCTCCCTAATTTTTGAATTTGAATATTTCAAAGTATGCAATAGGCCCTTCTCTCTCTCTATGTGTGAATTGAGCATTCGGCCAAAGAAATATGATACTTTTGATCTTGGCCAGGTATTGGATAATGGAACCGGAATTTAACATATTTCAGCATGGCAGAGAACAAAATTCAGGCTAAAGCGGTGTACTGAACAAATGGAAGGGACATCTCATCGCGGCCTTTTGTTGTTGGCAAATGAGGAAACGAAAAGGGCTGAGATCGAAGTGGACAGTTGAATAATTCTCTTCATCTTCAAGGAAAGAGGAGCATCCAATAACACCAGAAGTAAGTAAAACGAAGACGAGAGATCCAAAGTGTTCGAGTTATATCACATGTGCAACCATTGCCATTCAAATACCAAACAAAGCGGTTCCCGAGGTTCAATTGACGTACTGAGGCATGCTCTCACTTTCGTGTGAAATTAACAATTAATTAACTTCATTTCAAAAAAAGTTAATTTAGGCTATCAAAATCGATGGAAAAATCCAATATTTTTTGATATTAAACAATTGCTGAGTGGTTGAAACAAGCAATTCAGTTCTGTGAACAGACAATTTTAAAGTTAGCAAATCGGGCCCCCTTTGTTGTAAAATTTAAAATGATCATTCGTCACAATAAAAGAATCTTTTTCGTGAATTGGGTAATGATATATCACGCTAGTTGGCCGAGGTGACAATTTCTGTCCATTTTCGTTTATATTTGTTGAAATTCCGATTTCTAACAAAGCATTTTTAGTTTGTAAAATTGAATGATATCAGAAAATACTTGATATGAATTCATTTGTTCACTTTATGTTGCAAGTAAACTTGAGCAGTTCTCGGTTTAGTTGGGGGAGGGAATTGTTAATGCGAGAGGCTTAACGCTGAAAAACGAACCGCAACCGCAGCGCATTTACCTTCCTGTCGTCCAAAATCAAATTTTGTATAAGCTCAACTCACAACAGTGCCAATAAATAAGCTTTACTGATATTCCGGCTTGTTGATAAGATGTGTGTGAATGTGTACCTGTTATAATGCCGACCTGAGAGGTCAACAAGGAGTAATTGATAGGTTAGTGAGTATCTCATTGTCTCTTAGAATGCATAAGCGAAAGATAGGTTGAAAGAAGGAATTGATGCTATCCAAAACTGAAAGATTTTGGAAGTTTTGTAATAGAAAATTCATTTCAAGTATTTGTGGATGAAGAGGTCAGACTCAGATGAACGAATCTGGCTGGTGTGAGGGGCCGTAAATAAAGGACAATTCTGCCAAGGAATATTAAACTGTTAGAAGGAAGGACTGATAGCTGATTGCTGAGTTCTAATTTCAATTCATATTACCCATTGAAGCAACAGAAAGTGATTGGTCAATAAACGTAAAGTGAAATGATTACGAAATAAATATTTAAACAAGATGAAAAGTTAAGGAAGAACGGAAGGACACCTATCAAATTAAGTCCTAGCAGGTAATCAGCCGACGGTTAAGCATTTTATGAACCAAGTAAATTTGCTAGTGTGCAAAGGAAGTGGTGTTGGGAAATGATGCGGAGGAAAATGTGAGAAAATAGATGGATAGCTGTTCCGGTCCGGAAAGAGTAGCGAGGAGTGGAGCGGAGGATGTAAGTGGAAAGATGAGTCATTTATTTGCTGGAACGGAGTGGAAGAGAGTGGGTGAATTGGATGCAGAATAAACGGATGGTGGAGGATTAGCCGCGGCGATAACCGGGAATGAAATATTCGCTCACCGACTACCGGTACACCTGTCCAATGTTCTCTTCCTCCCTCCCTCTCCTTATTAGCTGTTCATTCTCGCTTCGATGTCCGCTGTAAGACGACGGACCTTCAAAGGAGAATAACTCACCGTTCACTCATCTGAAATTAATGCACATCGCAATGATATGCAAATGGTCATTGCATGGTGGCTTAGCAGTGACAGTGATGGATGAGTAGGAGGGCTCGATCAATAAAAAGCAGAAATGTTTTAAGAATTTTAGTGGGAGGGAGGAGGAAGAAAGTTATCGAAGTAAAGAGGAACCACTTCTCCCTCTTCAAGGGACAGCGAGATTTCATGCGACGACAAGTTTTTGAGTGGCTCAATTGGGTAAGCTCATATTAGTAACTTTATATTTAAATTGGTCGAATGGAACTTGAATGAAGTTGAATACATAATAGCTCTCGTTATTAATCTTGAAGCATCCAATTCTGTTACGCTTAAAACAAGAAGTAAATGGGTGATTGATCGGAAGTTGATTCAAATGATCATTACAGATGGAAGATAGTCTATTGACGTTCAGATCCCATGGGATATATCCCAAAGCTATTTACGTCAAATTGAATTCAGTCAAAGTCAATTACTGCCGATAGTAACTAAAGAAATATCTTGTCGGCAAAAATAGCAGCAGTACAAGTGTGCCAGACTTAGTATTGCTCAGTATAATATTAGGCCCAACAGGACTGATACTTCCGAGGACGAGAATGGAGTGAGCAAATGCCTGAGAATACTCTCTGTCCTATCGACCAACGCATATATCCATATCTCGCATCTGCATGTTATCCGTGCACGCATCACACACACACCCCAAAATTAATCTGTGACCTTCCTTTTCAAAAAAAGAATTCAGTGGGAAAGGAAATGAATGTGAATAGTGCGAGATTAGATAATGATGCTGAGGTTAGTGATGCAGTTCTTGGCGATATCGAGAGTAATCTTTTTTGGCATCGAGAACGGTCATCCAGAGTGACGTCTGGTGACGTCGATACGGTATCTGATGACATCGAGAGCGGTGCTTGGTGATATCGAGAGTAGCCGTAATAAAATCTCAAAATGATGACTTCTCAGAGCGACGGCGGAGCATTTAATGCTAAAGTGATTGCTAGTGCATGTTGCGCAAAGTGTCAGCTGCACTATCGACCATTGCATCGCGAATTTTTGGACGCGCAAGAGCAGTTTATAACAGGCCATTTGGGAACACGATCTCGGATACCGAATTCCTTTGGGGAATTCGACTTGCTGGCAAGTTTCCTTTAAATTGACATGCTCAAGTAACTCTGACATGACCGTAATTGAGGAATGATCTCGTCTAGGCTGGTTTGTTCATTTGAAGGCACTTTTAATATTGCTTTTCAATATAAATGGAATCTGGCTTCTTCGAGTGAACAGCATCATGGATTTAATAGTCTGAAATCGGGCCGAAATGGATTAAATAGAGCCTTTCTGTTTATTCAAGAAGAGTGTCAACTCTGTACAAGTAAGCTATTAGAGATGTACAAATCACCGAAAGGACCAAAGATGGAAGAGGGCAATTTTTCTGTGAATTCTGTAACTGCACCTTGTGCTTTCGAATTTGAAATAAAAAGTAAGTGAGCGAAGATTTGACTGTGGGTCCCGAAATCGGCTAGAAAATTTAAATGTCTGATATGTGAGCCATGTTCCTGAGAGCGTTGTATCTGGGAATAGCAAGCAAGCACTCATTCGTCTGGACAAACAATACCACACGATAGGCAAACAATACCCGTCCATATTTGCATAAGGCACTCAAAAACAGTTTGAGAGGAAGAAGTGAAGTGCTGGTCGAGTCTCTCAACTGGGGTCATCACACGAAAAACCAGAGTTTAGTCAGTGACTTCAAGTATTTGGGCAAGGAAGGGAGCAGCTATCCGGAAAGTCAGTCTGAAATCACTCATTCATCCTCTCCTCGCCCCTCAACAACTGTGATCGTTTCTGCAACATCTCCCTGATGGTTCCCACTGTCAACAGTCG